CTGTGTGGCTGCTGTAGGTGGTGTCCAGCTCCATTGTGGACAAGTACATTGGTGAGAGTGCCAGGCTGATCAGAGAAATGTTCAACTATGCCAGGGACCACCAGCCATGCATCATCTTCATGGATGAGATTGATGCCATTGGTAAGTCAGCGTCAGCTCTACAGAGAACGATAGGAAATGCTTTATCCCATATTTGGGAAATTCTTTTGTTAAAGTAGTAACGCCGTATTTCCAAAATTCAGATCATACTTAAAGTTAAGACGTACTGAAAACAGGAGCTGTCTTTTTATTTGCCTGCTTGTCACCAGTTTGAATTAAATTGAAGTACTTTGTAAAGACATGTCACAGGTGTGAGCTTCAATACTGACACAGCAAGCACAAAGTTCATTCAAAAAAGAGTTGTGTACTGAGCATTTATTTACAGTGAAATTGTTAGAAGGGTGCTTGAGATACTTGTGTTTTTCCCTGTAGGTGGCCGACGTTTCTCAGAGGGAACCTCAGCTGACAGAGAGATTCAGAGGACTTTGATGGAGGTAACAGAAGCACCAAAACACCACTCAGCAGCACTCTTTGTTGTTTGAATATAAACAGCAAATATGGAACGGTGTGATCGCCTGTTTGGCGTCATGCTTTCATGTTGCAGCCAGAAGGTGCTCAATCCACCCAATACCCCAAGTGTCCAGCTTAGGTGCCTTTATAAAAACTAAAAAGCATTTCATTAGACTTCATTTTCCATTCTACAGAATTGTATTGTACTTGGAGGGTGTCCTTAGCTGTATCAGTCCCTGCCAATAATAACTGCCAGTTATCAGTTTATTGTAACTCTGCAGTCACATAGTGACTATCTACAGTAAGAAACATACTAAACCAAATGAATTTGAAAGCAAAGTACAAATGAAAGTATAATTGAGCCTTAGTGAGTAAGGATGCACGTTTTTACCCTGCACGAGAAATAAGCTCACACACAAAATCTCCATCAAATTGATGCAAAGCTTTTAAAATGGACTGGTTCTTATACAGCGTGCCTCATTCGCCCATACATACAAGCACTTTCTATGTTTAAATACTTTCTATATTCTATATACTGGGGCTAGTGTCTCGCCTGCTTTCCCCCCTGAGCTACAGCATCTCCACTTTTGTTCTGCCATGCGTGACATGAATCAGAACTACTCCAAATTTCTGGGCTGGTACTCACTATGCTATCCACATACCACACATTCCCATTTTTCTATACAGGAGACAAGTTTACCTGAAAGTAAAATTGTGTTGTTACAGTGTTGTAAGAGAGAACGTCTGTGATCCTAACATGAGCAATAAAAGCGTCCCGATTCTCTGAGTCTGTGAGATTAAAAATGCTTTTGGCTGCTCACAAGCAGCACATCAACTCACCCTAGATGCCCTTCCTGACGCAGCCACCCAACCCACCCCACCCATCTGTTGTTATTATAACGGATGTTAACACAAAGACATTAACAGCACAACACGCTTTTTCAATCGTCTGTACTGGGTCTGTTTAGGCAATAAGACATCACGTCAGTATGTCGGTTGTTCATTTGAAGCAGACCTTTCCAAACATTTGTTGCTTTTACCTTGACTCTTGTAGTCACCAGTAACATGGTTGCCGTTGCAGTGGACAAGTGCTTAATCACACAGAATACATGACATGTCTGTGTGTTTTCAGCTGTTGAATCAGATGGACGGCTTCGACACATTGCACAGAGTCAAGATGATCATGGCCACCAACAGACCTGACACTCTCGACCCTGCCCTGCTGCGGCCTGGCAGACTGGACCGCAAAATTCGTAAGAACTTCTCCTGTTCAGCTTCTCTGTCAGCTCTATGTGAGCCCACGCAGGAAAACCACTTTCCTTTGTCTCTTCCTCAGACATTGAACTGCCCAATGAGCAGGCTCGTCTTGACATCCTTAAGATTCACTCCAGTCCTATCACCAAGCACGGAGAAATAGGTGAGTAGACGAGCATCACCTCAGTCCTGCTGCACTTATCCAAATGTCAAACGGACTCTGTGTTACTTTGGTAGTTTGCTCATTTAAGGTGCTCTGCCTGGAAGTTTCAGCATGTTAACTTGACAAAAATCCCTCAGATGAACAACAGGTTGCTTTCCTCTTTGCTGCCTACTCATGACTTGTACATATCTCTGTTCTTTGAAGGCTTTTGTTAATGTATTTGTTGCAGAATAATCGACACGTGACCTCCGTTTTCATGGATCTAACTGTATGATTACTTTCAGATTTTGAAGCCATTGTGAAGCTGTCAGATGGTTTCAATGGAGCTGACCTGAGAAACGTGTGCACAGAAGCAGGTCAGATGATCATTCCTTATCAGATCTATGATGAGCTCTGAGAAGCTCTTCTCTCACATGGTTCTGTGTATGTTTTCAGGGTTATTTGCCATCCGCTCAGATCGTGAGTACGTAACTCAGGAGGACTTTATGAAAGCCGTGAGGAAGGTGGCGGACTCAAAGAAGCTCGAGTCTAAGCTGGACTACAAACCTGTATAACTTGTCTGTCCTTTTCTTTATTTTTTATTCCTCTGTCATGGATTTGCTGTGTTAAAGTTTGTTTGTTGGGAAGCGGTATTAAAAGGAAAAAGGAAAAAAAAATCCCTCCACCTTTAAGATTGCCAAAAGTGACTTTCATAGTGACGTTACCTGCTGTTTCCACTTATTAGTCGAACCTGCCTCAGTGTTTACACCACATGAAAGAGGCTCTGTCTTATAATCCACACTTGTATAAAACGGCTTTATGTCCACAAATACAACTGTTGCCGAAGCTGTGTTTTATTTCCATCGTTCAGTTTTCTTCTTAATTATTCACAACTGAAATGGAAATTTGACAAAAACATGCTCCTGTTAACTAATCACATCCACAGATGACCACAGAGGTGTTCAGTTTATGTTTTAGTCTGCTTTTAAACTTTTTCAACCAGTCTCTGATTTTTATCTAGAAGGGTGATATTAACCTTTGAAATGCATATTTTAAGATGGCAGCAACTGGGACTTAATAATATGGACTAAACTTTATGGATCCATGGTGAAGGTCCTACTTGATTTAATTTAGTGTTATTTATATAGCGCCAAAGCACAACAACAGTTGGCTCTTTAATATTGATTATAAAGACATCACAATAATACAAAAAACCCAACAGTCAGATGACCCTCTATGAACAAGCACAAAAATAGGAAGGAACAACTCCCTTTTAACAGGAAGAAACCTCCAGCAGACCATCTGCTACCACTAGTTGAGGGTGAAGGGAAAGGAGGAGCGCCAGAGAATAATAACTAATGAGTAACTAATGCAGAGTGTTGTATAAACACACAGTAATTGAAGAAGAAACACTTGGTACATCATGGGAAGCAGCTGAGACCTATTGGAGTGTAAATGGATCCAGTCCTAACTCTGCTTTATTTCTAAAAGTAGAGAGGGTGTCTATGGAGGGCCAGGAGGGACAATTCATGAATTAATTTTATCAGTCAGCCTCACCAATCACAGTCGGGGCGGGGTTAACGCTGGTCGAGTCAACACCATTGCTTTGGCCTTTCAGCGGGCGTTTCTCAGCGCCAACAACAAACAGAAACTAACTAAACTATCGAGTCTTTCTCTCATGATGTTCGTATGTGTAATGCTCATTTCAGTCACCAATTCTGAATTATAACTAACATTAAAAACATGTTAAAGGAGGAGAGAGAGCAAATAAATCTGATTAACATCTGATCTTTGAGTTTTTGTTCAATAATCAGCATGACCTGTGTATACACACATAAACTTTATTAAAATGGATAACATTGGTGTCCGTCATGTAGTAACTGTTTGGTTTAACTGTACCAGGCTTGTTAGTGAAACACAGACTAATATTTTATTGTGAATAATAATCATGAGGCTAAACAGGCAGTCCAGCTGCTGCCTCAGAGCCAGACACCATGGAGTGAGGACAGCATCTCCAGGATATCTTTCCATTATCTGGAATCGCTGACCCCAACACTGGGACCAGGATAAGAGGTTAGGAGCTCTAAGTTAACCCAAGGTTTCCCAGCATGGGCACATGAAAGCGTCAAAGTAATCTAATGGTCATATCTGTGTTCATCAACATAAACTCATCCTTATTACTGCCAACTATTCCAGAGATGGGAAAACCTGCATCGTAAAGAACATAAAAATATGGCAGTCAAACGCAACACTTGTAAAAGAGATGAATGCTTCAGTTTGTTGCAGGTCAAAGTGAAATGAATGCGATTGGTTGAACGAGTGTTTGTGATGTGTGTTCTTTGTTATCTGCATTATTTTCATCAGCGTAAGAGACTCAGCAGCAGATTAGAATCAAGTACAACATTCATACATTTAATAAATCACCAAATTAATACACGCATGTTCCTGTGACCATGCGACGCACTGATTTTAGTACAGCAGGCTGCACACTGCTCATATAAAACATATTTCCCCATTATATTGTCACTTAAAACATGCTGTAAATAAAAGACTGAATGAAAATATAAAAACAAACGTCAAACATGGGCTCAGTCTACGTTTGATATGATGATGCCATCCAGAGTAAGCAAACAAGAAATTAGAGGTCATCAAGGTCTTTAAGTCTTACAGAAACACCTGCAGTTTAATTATCACGGAAAGATAAAGTATTATCACAGAAGTGAAAATGTATGCTGTTCCTTCTAATGCATCAAAGTTTTGCTGTGTAGTTTGACACAGAACTCAGAAGTTGGAGCTGGACAATGTTCCAGAGTTTAGTTAATGAGCATCAACAGTGAAACTAAACTCTGGCAAGCAGTTATGTAACAAGTTACTGTAACCAGTTTCCATGTTTTTAGTCATCATGTTTAGTAATTTATTACAATTATGTTATTATTTAAATTGCAATGGCTCTCAGGTTTTGTTTTGTTTTTTACCCTGCATGCTCACACTACAGTCAGCTGAATCAGCTCGTTTCTGGGAGGTGGAAAATGAAGAGATTGACAGCTTTGATGAGTGCAGGTCTGGACAATCTTTTTATTGAATTAAAGGACAAGAAAAACAAAGCCAACAATAACCTTGTAGCTTCCACTTCCACCTGTTTCTACCATAGAATCACCCCGGCCATCACTCTGGGCTGTTTTTCTGTTCATATGTCAAAAGTACAACACAGCTTGTATGCATGTTGTGCAGAACTGTAGTTTTAAATTATTAACTGGTAACTATAAGACAATTATGGAGTAACACAAAAGTGGTGAATATAGGTAATATAATGTATTACTTTTAGGAAGATTATCAAGTAATATCTAATCCATTACTTTTGTGAGTAACAACCACAACATAAGCGGTCACAGTGATGCCACTTTCAGCAAGAGGAGGCAGAAAACATCACAATATTACTGTGAACACTCCTGTTTGCTGAAGAACTGAGTGAACATAAGGAACTGTTTAGTGTAACAAAAGTACTGCAGAACAACCCGAGAACATCCTTCCATGTATGGTGGAGGCAGTGTCACTCTCGTAGAAAGGAAACTATCCCAGAGGCTAGCTGAAGCACTGCAGAAGTTGGGTAACACTGTAAAGTCCTGGAGAATGTTTTAAAGAAAGCCACCAGACCTTAAAGGAGCACAGACAGGTCTGATCTGCTGCTAACCAAAACACCTGTCACACAGGCGACAGATCCTTGTAGTCATCTCTTCTATCATGTTCACCAGTTCACTGACAGTCATTGCTCTGTGTCAGTGCAAACGACTCCTGGACAAAGGCTCTACAGATGGGGCAGTGCTGGAAAAAGGACACGCAGCTGTCACACATGCAGGCGTGTCTGCAGGGCAGCAGCACCCTGTTCACTGCTGCATTCTGACACACCACACAGTCTCTGCCCTCCGTCCCCTCTGACCAGTCCTCCTCCTCCATCACTGGGATCTGATCCTCGCTCTGAGTGTCACTGGGTGTGAAAGTGTGCCCCGAATCAGCAGACCCAGACATCCCCCCGCTGTCAGCAGACATGAAAAGAGGCTGCAAGAGACAAGAGATAGGTTTTTCTTAAACTGCTGTAACAAGGCCCTAAGTGCTTGGCAAACTGGAGATTTTCACACATGTATTGACACTAGGGCTGCTCGATTATGGCAAAAATGATAATCACGATTATTTTCACTGAAATTGAGATCTCGATTATTTGACGATATTTATTTAACAATAACAATGTGTTGAATAATGACTTTAAAGCTTATCAAAAAATAATATAAAATAGTGTGCAAATACTGATAACAGTGCAAATGTTTGCAATATAAAAAATAAATGAAAAATGTAAACATCTATGTTTAGTGAACTTTGCAGTGTTGCTCTGTGGTGCAGAGACACTGTAGCAAAGTTTACACACTGTGTCTACTTGATCCACGTCTGACTCCGCGAACCCATAATGTTTCCACACCACCAACGGCAGTCACTCTCCTCTCCACATAACTTCTGCTTAGCTTTCCGAGCTTCCCTCGGGTCCTCTTCTTAATTGTTGTGACGCTGTTCGAAATGCAGAGAGGTGCGCTGGATTTGCCACACGGAGCAGCGCGAGAGTAAAGCACGAGGGAGGGGCTAATAATCGGCTCAGTCATTTTTAATGATCGTTGAAAGCCCAGATCGTAATCGAGATTAAAATTCGATTAATTGAGCAGCCCTAATTGACACTGACAGAGACGACACAAAATATGTAACATTTTGCTAGTCTAAAGCCACAAGATCTGCCTGATAGGCATCTGCAGTAATCTGCATCAGGGTGAGAACTGCAAGAAGAGTCAGTGAATTCCTCTGAGTGTTCATCCTGCAAGTGACGGGAATTCTAGCTCTACTAAGAGAGCCTGCTCTTTTGGTTTCTAAGCAGCTCGTCAGAAGTTTTGTTAGTTAATTTTTTACCTAAACTTAAGTAAAATGATGTCTATAATTAATGACTAATGTTTATTATATATAATGACTTATTAAAGTACAAAAACAAACATCCATCTCAGTTTGCCAAAAACATACAATCCCTGATTATAAACTTTGAATTATTTACAGTGAAACAATAAAAGACAATCAAACAACTAAATAAATGTAACTGCTTAAAACAAAAAGAAAAAAGCTCTTAGTCCCATTGTTGACTTCAAAGAGACACATTTCGTTCCTCACTGACACACCACTACATCATGATACATTTTCCTTCAAAGCACACATTACAGAAGGCAGGAAGCACTGCATTAATGAAACCTAATTTACCACATGGAGCCTTGCTCTAAAAAACTGTCACATTTAAGACTGTCCTTGAAATAACTGTTTAAACCCAAACCTTTTAGAGCCATAATGTGGCACTACAGAATAATAACCAACCTCCTGATGTTTGTATTGTTGGTAAAATAAAAAAGCTGCTTTTTTGTTGTGCTGGCCGTGGCTGCAGCAATGACTCTAATGGTGAAAACCAAGGAAAGACTGTCCACTTTCACTCTTGGCCTTTAAACACAAGTGCTTCTTGATTGCTGGCTGGCTGCACTGACACAGGAGAATCCAGGAGTCACTGGGATTTATGCTTCAGTGGGAAATGAAGTCATAACCGCAACCCCCTCTGAAACCATGGGTGAAAAATAACTGAACAAAGCCAACAACTATTCCGTTTTGTTCTTCTCGTGCATTTTCAGGCCAATTCTTCACCTCAGTTTTTGAATTTGTCAGTGACAGAATAACAATGGTCTCAGTATAAGGAATAATACTAATAAGAATAATAGCATCAACCTAGAAATAACAGCAAAGTTCTGACAGTTTGATGAAACTGACATCAGAATGTACAAAGAAGTGGACCTTTTATGTTATTTTTGACATTTAATGGTGTCCTTGAAATCAAATGCATTATTATTATTATTATTATTATTGACCAACCTTTAACTCGTACATGCTCCCTTGTGAGGTGAGGAGGTACTGGAAGAGAATCCGTGCAGAAAGCTTGTATTTGTCATCAGGAACATGAATAACTATAACACTAGCCACCTGAAAGAGAAAACATTTACAATCACTTCTACCAGTTCACCATGTAAATCTGCATTTTTTTAACTCACTGTGAGTGTTGCTGTTCTCTGACTGACGGCTGCTCCCACTTTGACACACTTTAAGTTTTCTTATTAGATAAAACTCATCGTTAGGGTTAGATCAGACTGCTCGGGGAGTTCTCATGATGCACTGCCCACTTTCTCTACCCCCACACCCCTCTTCATTTTGACCACACTGTTACCCTGAGTGAAGACAAGATGGTATATTGTTGCTTCACAGCAAGAAGGTTCCTGGTTCAAATCCCAGTTGGGGCCTTCCTGTGTGGGTTTCCTTCTCACAGTATAAAGAGCCTTAAGACAAACTGGAGATGTTTATAAAATAAATAAATTAAATGATTAAACTCACAATGTCGTTCACGTGTCTTTCTTGTGCCTCTTCCAGGGTCAGCACAGCCACGAGAGGGTAGCGCTGTCTTGGTAGTGGTCCAAAATCAGTGATGCCCTGATCAGCGGGGATCTGTGCGTGCCGCTCCGCTCTATCTTCACTGCTGATACTGAGAGAAGGTCAAAGACACTAACGGCAGGAGACATGAAGACATGCTTCATGTCTTCCTTCATAAAGCATGAAGCTCAATGAGTCAAAGAGCGGAAATGTTAGAAATGATTGCTTTGACTGATGACTAATAACACAAACTTTGCTGCCACTGGCACAAGAACGTGAACAGACCACATGTAACAATTAGTCCAGTGCCAATCACCTGAATGGACCTCAAAGGTTCCTACAAGCGGAAACAAGCCACATCTCCACTGTGTGATCTCAGGGACTATGCTGTTATGCTGTAAGGAGAGTGTTTGATGACCGGACCCTAGCCCACTTGGTCCAGCTGGGCGGAAAGAAAGGAGCCCCAAATAGACAACATGGGCACGCCCACCCCCTCCAGGACACAGTGTTGGGGTCAGGTGCAATGTGTTTCAGGTGGAGGGCAGTGGCACAGGCCCTAGCAATTGGATACCCGGCTATCAAGGCTGGCTGCTGCAACATCGGTGTGCTCCAACTACAGGGGATCACACTCCTTAGTCTCCCTATGAAGGTCTTTTCCAGGATACTGGAAAGGACAATTTGTCCATTAGTTGAATCTTAACAGTGTGGCGTTCGTCCTGGTCGTAGAACATTAGAGCAGCATTGCAGCAATAAGTCGGACTCATTTCTGGTAGGTGTTTTACTCCGCTAGAGCTCTTTGTCACTGATTCTCTTCATAATAAATTTTATGGACAGAAGTTCTAGGCATATTCAGGTGCCGGAAGGCTTCCACTTTTGGTAGCCTCAGCCTCATCTCTGCTTTTTTTAGATGATGTGGTTCTGTTGGCTTCGTCAGGTGGTGGTGGCCACCAGCTTGCACTAGAGTGGTTCACAGCAGAGTTTGAAATAGCAGGAATAGAAATCTCCCATTCTAAATCTGAGGCCAGAAAAGGGTGGAGAGCCCACCCTGGGTCAAGGACGAGTTGACGCCCCAAGTAGGGGAGTTTAGATGTCTCTGGGTTTCGTTCAGGAGTGAGGGAAGAGGGGAGTGACACACAGTGTGAAAAAAGAAAGAAGAAATTTCTACACTCCAGCTCGACTGAACAACACAATTTTAGATCTCACAGGTCAAAGATTAAGTCTAAACTGTTTGACAGAGGCATACCACTGAGATACTTGGTTAGCAACAAATAGGATACTGGAATTTCTGGCAATAATAGTAGTGGAGGTTCAGGGCTTCCTGGAAATGCTGGTGGGTGCTGAGCATCATGCCATGCTGGTGGGCATGTAGCACTCCTTGTAGGGTACTGACCTCACAGCCCCAGAAACAGCTCAGGACACAGGACTCCAGACAACAAGGTCTCACCAGCACACCGTCTGAACAGAGCAAAAACAGAAAAAGGTTCAGTGTTCCACAGCATCACCATTTAGAGTTCTTTCCATTGAACAGCAGACCGCAAATCAAATTGATAATTATATAGACTACACAGAAACATTCTCTTGGCAGTCAATAGATTTACAGTTTTTTCTATTTAGTACATCCAGCTGGACACCATCCTCTGGAAACACACTAGAATATGAGGGTTAACGGATGTTTCTGGATGCAGGCATGGAAGTTTCACATCCCCAAATACTTTTGAGCCAAAAAAAAATACCTTTTCCCAGTAACAGCATTATTTCATTCCTCATCTGTTCTCACCGGTAACACTTGCTGATCCAGAACCCAACTCCAGGGCGAAGGGATTGGTCACCTGAACCATCTGTTTCTCAGCGGCTGGTAAGCTGGGCTCTTGCTCATCATAGCTGCGAAGTATAACTGGAACGTCAAAGCCAAACCTACAGAAAAGAGGCGAGAGTAAGCAGAGTCTCTCTGTCTGGTGGTGTTCTCGCTTAAATCTAAACCAATTCGATTAAATGCAGAGGGGTGCACACACTGGCTGGCTGTGTAGAAACATGCTCTTCTGAATTAACTGCTACTATGTTGACTGTAGTCTAGAACATGACACAGTTATGCCTGGAAATGTTTCTACAACCAATTATCAACAATCAAAAATCCAACTCAAGTGCAGATTCTGAACTTTATTGTAAAAGGATTGAGCAATTTGTTATTTCTTCATCAGCTAACCAGATACAACGTCTGAATTGTTTCTAAGTGTTGCATGTCCATTTCACAGAATAACATATTCAAGAATAACAGGCAATTATTAGGTTGGAAAATGAAAGAAATTCAGGTAATGAGCAAAAACTTGAGAGGAAGAAAAACCAATTGTCAAGGAGAAAAAATGGCAGAGTTCCTCAGTGTAAACGCCAGCCATTCACCATTATTATCACTGCCATTGTGTACACTGCTCCCAGTGCTAAGGTTATTTCTAATTAGGCACTTGGAGGCCTACACGACAGCAAATTTGGGCTTCTACCTAAACAATCCCCTCCAATCAGGGGATTTTAACCACAACAGGTTCAAGACTGCGCTCCCCAAGTTCAAGCAATACAACAACTTTAAAACCAGAGGGGTGAACATGCTGGACTCTTGGTGTACACAAACCACCAACACGCATACAAGGCAACCCCCTGACCCCACCTGATCATCTTTCCATTATGCTTGTACCTGCTTACAAACCTCACTGAAGCACATAAAGCCAATGACAAACAGAGGATGCAGCCTTGGGACTTCTACTTTAGGCACACTGAGTGAAGCCTCTCGGCGAGACCACATAAACATCCAAGAGTATGCGAAGACAGTAACCAGCAACACTGCACAGTGTACAGAGGATGTCACTGTAGGTAAGAACTTCACTACATGTGGCAATCAGAAAACCTGGAAGACCACAGAGGTGTGCTAACTGCTGACACATCACTGCTCACAGCACTCGGTATTAACCCACCTGGACAGTAAAGACAACCACGCCAGACTCCTGTACATTGATTTTATTTATTTTTTCTCCTTTGGGCGGGGGATCAGAAAAGAATTAAATGGTAAGCCGCGCTACTAGAGTCACATGTCATATTTGCTATCATCTACAGGTCGAGGCCTCTGACAACGAATATTATTTTGAAACATCACTAGCCCATTATTTTTTTCACCTCGTTGTTTGTGTGTGCACATTTGTGAGGTTGTTCTAGTAATCTTCATAATACCCACAGCCCTAAAGTGCACCCCGATGAGACCCAGAAACCAAACTTAAGCAATGGTGAGTACACTAGCGTGGATAACGCCAGGTAGTGTGGTATGAACATTTTCACACCCATCACCGGAACACAAACATCATAACAAAGCCCAGAAGTCCCAGATTGATCGCTCAGTGCAGAAGCTATGATTGTCTGGCAGCATCACCGAGGGAAAAAAATCATCAAATTTGTTATTGCCCGTCGGTTCCAGTCTTAAGGCAGTCATTAGTGACTGTAAACATTGTGATTAAAGTATCAATGGGAACGATACTAAACTCAGATTTTTAATTATGATAGTTTCTCCAGTTAGTTCTGAAACCGTGAAAATTAATGGACTGTAAAAAATAGCTTGGATTATTTTAATTAAAGGTCAATGCAGTATTTTGTTCAACAGAAAATAAGCAAAATGATTGATAGACATGTTACAGCACGCTGCGCCTGACCTACATGCTATGTTATATTATGAAGGCCACATTCAAGTCGTTAATATATAAAGTCGAAGGGTACCTGTGTGGTGACAACGAATGTAAATTATATATCAAAGTGTGGCTAACTATATTAGCTAAATACAACTTACCAGCCGAGGACCATAGCAGCGGTTACAACGAAACAAAGCGACACCACACTAATATAAAAGAGCGGAGAGTACTCGTAGAGTGTGGCTAGAAACACCCCTGCCATTTCACATCAGCTTCAAGAATAAGCCTGTTTATTTAAAAAACCTCATATAACACCTTGGGTTCATTCCAATAATCCATCTTGCTTTCAGGTTTTCACTGAGACGTAACACGGAAATAGCTTCTTCTTCTTTTTGTTTTTATTATGTATTGATGGTTGTCAAACAGCAAAATGGTGCATTACCGCCACCAACTGGTGTGGAGTGAAATATCACACAAATTTGAGAAAATGTCTGAAAAAAGAAATTTGAGAAAAAAGGCAGAAACCTAACTTTTTTTCTCAGAATTCTGGAAAAAAAGATGTGCCCACTTTTATTTTTCCCCAGTGACTTTAATCCTCTTCCATAATTTGAAACAGTCTGATAACTTTCACTCCCGGAAGTATCTCTGTGGCTGTCATAGTAAGTAAGAGCTGTTCATATTCTCCAAATACTAAGGAAAGAAGCATCAGCACTTCCTTTAGCAGAGGATACACTGGACCACCCTTTATGAAAGGGGAGGAGAAAAATTCATTGTGACGGATCATCCGACCATTCATGAAAATAACAACAAAGTAGCAAGAAAGTTGCGCATATCATGTAAATGTTAACTGCATTTTCCATTCATGCTAAGGAGGGACAAGAGTACTTTTAGAAAGTGAGTTCTGGCCCTGTGATTTATAACCGTAGAAGCAAAAAAATCTTAATGGAATACTGCATTTTGTGTTTACTTGTGTTATCCTTCTCTAATATTTAAATTCGTTTGATCATCTAAAACTTTTAAATGTGGAAAATACACCAAAAAATATGAGAACAGGAAGGGGGTGAAAACTTTTTCACACCAACTCACAAACTTCAAGTCCACACCTGACAATACTGGCTGTCTGGGTGCTCCTCCCTGAATCACCAATAAAGCAATATGGGATAGGCAGGCTCTAGCTTAGACCAACAAGAGAGCGGGGAGAATGGCTTTGAGCTGACCAGTGGGAAACGTAACTGATTTTACGGCCTTCTGAGGAAGAGGTTTTATGTTTCAAATCAGTCAGACAAAGGGGGATTTCAGAAGGTCACGCTGGGAGATAAGCCTCTGTGATGACCAAAGCCAATTCAGAGCTGATTAAAACAGATGGTGGTGTCCTGCTGTGCTTATGATAAGGCAGGGTGTTAATTTTACCTGGCCAAAGATTTGTTATTTTTCATGCCTCTTTTGTCAGCGTTTTGATAACAGGGGAATTATAGCACCTTAATGCAGTTTTACATATGTGCAAAGCTTAAGACTAAGAAACGGTAGCTGATACATTTGATATCGTAGCTTCCTCTGACATGGTGTAGCCTTTCTTTGCGTGTTTGAAATGTTTTTCACTGTTTACTCTTTCAGACTCTGATTTCACCATTCAAAATACAGATGAATGTGTAATTGATTTTTTACTGATGATGGTGTTTTAGACAACATTAAAGAAACAAAAATGAGACCATCTCTCAATCTCTCATATAACAGCTGGTCCGGGACAGCAATGTGTGTCTTTATTATGCTGCACAACGTATTTGGTGACTTAAACAATGTTAATATTAAAGAAAGAATACCGTTCTATGTATGTGTATATTTAGAAATTGTTTTATTTTACATTTGAATGTGGAGATAGATCAGTCTGAAATCGCTTTTTTACTAAACATTTCTGCTGACACCCAGAAACGAGGCTCTCGAAGACTTGCGATTAGAATCTGAGATTCAAATACCAGATGAGCTCTTAAGTGAGATAAATATACTAAGTGAAAATTCAGAAGTCCAGTGCTTCCCAAATTTTTGTCACTGTCAACCCTTAGGTAACCTTATACCAAAACAATGTAGAAGATAGTGCATCGGATTAGGACCTCAGCTGCAAAGTTTGCATTAAACCAGCAATGTGATTATTCATTACAACAACCAGGAGGAAATGCAGAACAGAGTACCATATCCTGCTGTATTTTTGAGAAGTGCATTCAATAACATTAGACGCATTTTGAATTTTCCACTTCCAGATAATACTCCAAATTATGCCGAATATTATGGGAAGTGTGCCTGAGATGTAGTTAAGTTAGAATTGCGAGGTCATCGGCTGCAAAATAGTGTTTCTGCGACTGTACTGTAATAATGATCTGTCTGAATTTGACTGACTGTAATGTTCTCACTGGAAGTTGGAGCTCCATTGTTACCATCAGAGCTCCTTCACATATTGATAGTTACTGAACAATGAAGTAATCAAAAAGAAAAGCTGGCATAGTGCATGACCTGAGTCACCATTTATGTTTTGCATTAAGTGTCCCTCAAGAGTTTAGCAACCTTCAGACAAAGAGTACGTCCACACACCATACTGCAAAAACCTTGTTTTTATTTCTATTTGAGAACCTTTATTACACCAATTAACATTTTAAAGCATTTCTGGGCACAAATGTTGTATGTGACCACAGTTATACAGGTTACACAAATGCCACAGGTCATTGTTCCGTCTGTTTGCAGCCATCTTGTAGTCACGAAGCTGCCAAGCCTGTTGTCTGCCCCGATGCAACCAAGCATCGTCATCGACCCAGATACACATGGATATGAGTGAATCAGGTGAATCAGGCGAGTCTTCACACAGTCGACCGAAGCATCAGATATGCATCAGACTGTGACACCTCATTCACCTTGTGATAGATCCATGTTTCCTTACTACAAGAACTACGGGGCTACACCAGGCACTGTGTGACTCTTCTATTACTCACATTTTTAGCATTTCAGACAATTTCTTTGAACAAATTGTCCCTAATGCTCAGGTAACCTGTAGGGTAACCGTCTCCAAATGGTGCTCCAGGAGATTGGTACAGCCGAATAAGGGGAGAATACATCTGCAAAACGCTGTTGTTATGCAGCAACGTCCGCCCTCTACACCCCTAACATGTGAAGCTTTGCCCTCAGAGTGTCCAGAATGTATTAAATCTCATTTTAGTTGGTCTTGGACCTTGCTTCCAGTTTTCTTTCTTTAGGTCTAACACCATGACTTTCTCAAAGGTAATTCCCAATAATACACGCAGTTCTTTTAGTGTGCGAGATGTGTCCTGGTCAGTCAGTATTTCTTTCAGGATGCCAACTCAGAAAATGGCCTGAAACTGCACCTGTGCAACACTCTTTGTAAAAAAAAGAAGGTGCACAGTAGCACTGCTTTGGGATTTCGTGTTGCACAATCCATCAGAACTAATACAAAGTGATATCCGCATGCACTAGGGTGAAATTATTGTCCCTTCTCACTCTTATTATCAACTATATTTTGTGCAGCAGTTGACCATACAGCATGCTTTTCTGTCTTTTTATTATATTTAATCCCCTTCCTTTTTGCCCTGCCGACAGACAGTGGCTGCAGTGCACACTTTTCATATTTTTTAACTCTCGCTTTCAGATCTTTGAATGTTATAACTTCATTCTTCTTTGTAGCTGGTGGACTGACCAACAACAATGCAAGCAAGAGTGGCCCAAATCTTGGAGTGCAGCAGACAGCATAAAACAGAGGAGCATAAGACCAGCTTCAGTCTGCAGCTTTAAATCTTCAGCTCAGATCTTTAGGATGGATGGAAACCCATTTGACTCCACAGCTTTGGTCCACATTTCAGTCTTTGCTTGCTCAGATTACTTCTCGAAGCCCTCAGCTTTCCCTGGTGCTGTGCACTGCCAGCAACACTCCTGGTTTGCCCCATGTTCTCCACATCTAAACAGCTTAATATTCCATCTGCAACCTGAAATCTACTTGCCACTACGTTAATCATAACAGGTGACTAACTATTATTAGTTAAAGAGCTTATCTTAATGTGTGTGCCAGCCAGGTTTACACCCATGTTCATGAAAACTGTTTAATATTCCAAAGCTGTTGAAAAGCACTTTTACTGACCTCTTTAAATTCCTCTTAAAGTACCGTTCAGTGTTACAAACCTGTTACTGAGGGGAGGAGCTGTGTGCTTGTCTATCTGTAGCAGTGCAAAGCTCTGTGACAGTCCGGAGGTGGACATAGCAAATATGACACTGTTGTAAATGAATATTGTAGCTGTGTAAGCATCCATTGATAACTGAGGGTTTTTGTTTGTTTGTTTGTTTACCCAGTGTGAAAGCAGAATATTCAATTAATATTAATTTCAGGACTTTATGCGTGACATTATGAACAGGGGCTGAGTCACCTAAAGATTTGATCCTAGAATTGCCCCTGAATCTGAAACTGCATGTCATGTGCTGTTCAGCTGATAAACTTTCCTCAGGGATGTAATATTGTGTGTGACTGGGGCATGATGTTTGACTGTTTGAGACTGGAGTTTGGGTTCCATTTATTTCACATGGCTTCTCTGTTTATGAGATATTTGCATACTCGAAAAATTGTTGTGAGCACTGTTAACAAATAGGTCAGCTTGGCCAACTCTAGGAAGAGTCAATTTATGGATGATAGAGGTCACTGCGCTCACTGGAATCCTGGAATTTCACTTTGTCATGAATCCATTTCGGAATAAGGCTGTAACATTACAAAATTTGGTACGAGTGAAGCGCTGTAAATACTTTCTGGATCGAGCGATCCTTGAGGCGACTGTAGTTGTGATTTGGCGCGGGATAAATAAAACTGAATTGAACTGGATGCACCGTGCGACTCCTGCTATTACAAACAATTGTATTTTGGAATTTAATTTTGACACGACGACAGGTTAATAGTCAGTTTAGCAAAATTCTAAACAGTATAAGATGAAATGTCAGACGATTGTTTGACCTGATTTTGAATAAACGAGTGAAAAAACAGACTGATCTTCAAATTAAAGGTCTGTAGCTGGATGTGTAAGTTCACCGCGCGCAGGACGCACGCGCGTTGTGTGCGTCCTGCTCGCACGCGTTAGTTGGGTTTACAATTTTCGTCTTATTGTGAAAAATCTGTTTATTTTGAACGTTTGAACAGGAAGTTGCACTTTTCGTATTTTACCTAACACTAGGGAGCGACTGCGAATCCCATCATAGCTTATTGTGTTTATTCCAGCCATTATCAGAGAAAGGAGGATGCAAATGGGGCCAGGAAAGCAGGGATTTATCTTCACTTTGTTCAGCTTTAATGTGTAGCTATAATGGCAAGAAAGACAGTGAGTAGGTGCAGAAAAGTAAACCGTTAATCGGGTCCACTGGTCTGGTGGGAGGACATCATTGTGAGTTTTCCTGTGGACTCTAAAAATGAGCAGTATAAAGGAAAAAGGGACTATTCGGCAGCAGAGCTCCGAGAATAACTCTGTGAGCAGCAGTGAGTGGGACATGGCAAACGATGTGTTTGTGTCCGGTTTTGACGACAGCGTGTTAGCGGACAGCATCGGTGATGGGGACCAGGAGTCGGCACAGTCCAGCTTACTGGACACGCGTCTGCCCTTGGATGGGATGATGTTGGGCCTGGATCGGGTTGAATATCCTGCCTCATCCTATCTGGATTTCGAGCCAAACTACACCGAAAGCGATGGCAACCTTACAACCAAAAAGCGCATCCGGTCCAACAGCTCCCGGCACCGCGGTGACATCGTTACAGAGCTGGGGCCAGAGGAGGTCCGCTGGTTTTACAAAGAGGACAAACGGACGTGGAAGCCTTTCGTCGGACACGATTCTTTAAAAATCGAGATCATCTACCGGCGGCTCGTTGACCAGAACCAGGATAAGGCCGTAGATCCCAATGAAGCCGACGAAAAGGAGACAGCCGGGTCCTCTGAGCTGCAGCCGGAAAGCTCGGCCGTGGACAGTGCAAGTTTCAGGGCGGAACCGGCAGTGCAACAGCTCTCAGTGTCAGAGCAAATCACAGAGCCGGTCCACAACGGCGGCACCAGCGTGGAGGCAGTGTGTGTCAGAGGGGGCCTTTATGAAGTGGATATCAAAGAAAAGGAATGCTACCCTGTTTATTGGAACCGTGAGCATCTCAGTAATGACATAGCTGTTGTTAGGACTGTTAGCACGTGTTCTGCTGTCAGTATCTTTGACCACTTCTAAGAAAATGAAACCTCTGCTGCTGCTGACTCTGTCACCTCTGAGCTCTGAGGACTGCGCTAATAGGCTGCTGCAAAAACGTCCTCTGTTACTGACATCGTCATGGTCTTACTGACCACCCAAAGTGCTTTAGACCAAAAGCCACACTGAGCCATGCATTCACACAGCGCTTTATTCTGTACACATTAAGTGCTTTATCTGCCTCACATCCGTGGCCACGTTCCAACTACCAGTTCACTTAACAAGCATGTTTTTAGACATGCTCTTTGAAACGAGACAATAATACAGTTGTTTCCGCACAATTAGTCGCATATTAGAAGGAGACTTCTCAAGACTTTGTCCAACACAATAGCGATACTTTACAGGGATGTAGAGCAGAGAGCAGGAATACATATATACACACTACTGGTCAAAGGTTTGGAACGCTGCAATTTTTCTAGTTTTTTATTGAAAGTTATGCACTTTATTCTCCTATTACACTCTGAAATGAAAGCATAGTACAATTAAGCAATTAGAGTTAAAAAAAGAAACCATGGAATTAATTTATAGACTAACATTTATTCTGACTCATCAAAGTAGCCCCCTTTGGCAGATATAACAGCTGACCAACCCGGGACATTCTTTCTACAATAGACATAAAATATTTTTCCACAAAGTTCCCATATCCGTTGCACAAGTTCCCATAAATGTGTGGTACTTGTAGGTTGCTTTGCTTTCAGTCTTCTGTCCAGTTTATCCCAAACCAGTTCGATGGAGTTTAGGTCTGGACTGTGCCACTCCATATTTTCAAGCTTACTATCTTGTTCTTTTTTCTGAGGTAGGTCTGGCCTGGCCTGGTCTGGTCTTGGACTTATGTTTTATCTTGCTGTGGGATGAACCCCTGACCAACTAGGCACATACCAGTGGATATTACATGGTGCTGCAGAATGCTGTGGTAGCCGTGTTGGTTCAGGGTGCCTCTTATTCTCTACGTAACCGGAAGGTTGCCGGTTCGAGCCCCGGCTCGGACAGTCTTTGTCGTTGTGTCCTTGGGCAAGACACTTCACCTGCCGCCTACTGGTGATGGCAGGAGGGGCCGATGGTGCGATATGGCAGCCTCGCTTCTGTCAGTCTGCCCCAGGGCAGCTGTGGCTACAACTGTAGCTTGCCTCCACCAGTGTGTAAATGTGTGAGTGAATGAATAGTGGAATTGTAAAGTGCTTTGGGGACCCCCAAAAGCGCTATATAAATGCAATCCATTATTATTATTATTATTATTACAAGTCACCAGTCTGGATCCAGCAGAACAGCCCCAGACCATCACGCTTCCTCTTCCACATCAGTCCATAATACCATCTTCCAGTCTTCAGTAGTCCAATGGCTGTGTTTCATGGCCTCTTTGTCTTATTCTGACTTCTTAGCAATGGCTTTCTTCCTGCAACACGTCCTGTCAAACCGGCAGTTCGAAGTCTTCTCTTCACAGTTGAAAGTGATACTTGCTTACTATGACCACTCTTAAGCTGTGCTTGAAGCTGTTGTCCCATGAGCCGACTATCACACAAGCCATTAACTCTTAGAAACTTGTCCTCTGATTCAGTTGTGGCTATAGGTCTGTCAGACCTCTTCCTGTCAGCGTTTGCCCCAGTTTCTGAGTGCCTTTTGTTGGTGAAGGAAACTGTACTGTACACCTTGACTTTCTTTGCAATTTCTCTGTAGGGATGTTCTAAAACTTTTTAATGATAGTGTATATATTAATATATTAATGAACTAATTTGGGTCAATTCTAAATTGAACCTATAATTACACATTTGCTTAGTATTCTTAGATTAGACACACACACACACACACACTGACAGATATTTATAATTTAAAATTTTGTGTTTGATGTTTTCAAAATTAGTTCATCTTTACTGTTACTGGGATCCAACATTCGGTCTTAGATTACAATTTTTGTTTTAATAAACTTCACATGTTGTTCCACAGAGCAAGACCGAATTCCTGTGATGAGGGGCCAGTGGTTCATTGATGGAACTTGGCTTCCACTGGAGGAGGATGAGAGTGATCTGATTGAGCAGGAACACCTTTTATGCTTCCGGGGGCAACAGATGAGGGACACCTATGAGATCGAGGCAGTGACCACCACAGTGGACAGCAAGGACGGTAGGGAATTTAAAACAGACAGGAAAGACAGAGAGATGCCATTGTGTGTGTGTCAGGCAAAGAAGATGAGTGTTTGCAACCATGTCTGTAGATGTGTGTCTCTGTTGGCCAGAATGGTCTTTTACAGGAAGTTCACAAAACAAGTCAAGTGATGCTATAATGCATGGGTTTATTGATTCTAAAATCTGTAATAAAATAAGATATTTCCAGATTTGGGAAATTCTGTTTTCACAGCAGTTATATCTGTCCATGGGAATAAGGATATATAACAAGTCAAATATTTTCATAATCAACAAAAAGTAACAAATTTTAAAATGCAGTGATCCAATTAACTCCAATTCTGCATACTGTCATGGGAGTTGGTGAATTAATTATTCTGCATGAATTATGTCAGTTGCTCTTAATTACAGTGTGACTTCTCACAGCTAGCCACAGTCTGAAGCTGAACAGGAGTCATGTGGACTGGCACAGTGTGGATGAGGTGTATCTGTACAGCGATGCCACCACCTCGAAGATTGCACGTACTGTAACTCAGAAACTGGGCTTCTCTAAAGGTATATAGGATGATTAACACTTTCTGTCTATTCCAAGAATTCTATCCATCCTCTTCTGCTTATCCAATTCAGGGTCATCTGACCCTGGAGCCTATCCCAGCTGTCACTGGGTGAGAAATGGGATGCACCCCACGAAGCTGACCTGGTGAGTACTGCTGACATTCCATGCAGGATCAGGGAAACAGGACAGTAGTAGTCACCAAGGAACTCCAGCTGCTGCAAAGACGAGGAGAATGTTTTAGTGTCCTTCTGAGCTGAAATATGTCATGAAACTAAACATAATTTCAACAAAAAAAAGTCTGGATTTTGATTAGGCCACTCCAAAACCTTAATTTTGTTTTTGTTTTTTTCAGCCATTCAGAGGTGGACTTGCTGGTACCCTTCTCAGACTGGTAGATGTCAGTGACTTTGTTTCTCAGCTGATTCTTTAGCTGTTTTGATATTCAAAATTGTTTTGTTTTTTTTGCCTAGTTCGCTTTGTCAGAGAGATTCTATTTAAGTGATTTAAATGATTAGGTAAGCGATATTTAAGCAATTAAGTATATATGGCAGTAACCAGACCTGTGTGCTGCTTGTGATATTGAGCTGATTTTTTATTTACTCAGGTTATATTTTAGAATTTGTTTTATGTTCTTAAACATTTGTGCAGCAAACTAAAACAATCCTGGCTACCGAGGCTGGTGATCACGACATGGAATGTCACATGTCTGGTGGATTGAGCCTGAGCTAGAGTATGGGGTTGAGAGCAGCTGGCAAGATATAATCGGGCTCACCTCAATTGAATCTTTCGGGCTTTGGAACTAGTCTCCCTGAGAGGGACTGGAATCTGCCCCTGTTTAGAGTTGCCCTTGATGAGAGGGAGTGGGCTGGGGTGGGTATCTTGGTATCTCATTGGCTTGCTGCCTGTATGTTGGATTTTTCCCTTGTGAGTGCAAGTGTTTGTTCTCTATGCCTTTGCGTCAGGGAACGAATGAAGACTGTTGTTTGTGCTTATGTGGCAAACAACAGTTCAGAATACTTGGCCTTTTGGAGTTCCTGGGTGGTGTTCTTAAGGGTGCTCCAGCTAAGGACTCTGTTGTGCTACTGGGAGACTTCAACGCTGATGTGGGATTTTCAGCACCCACCTTTGACAGAGCTTCGACAGCATTCCGAGGGAGACTGGGGACATTGAGTCAGAACGGACCGTGTTCCGCACCTCCATTGGTGAGGAATTCTACTCGGCTTGGTTAGCCTGTGGGACTTTGGAGACAGCCGATGGGTCCCAGCAGGACAAGTGGAATGTGGCTTAGGCAGTGGCTAAATCAAAAACTCGGGTGAGGGAGGAGTTTAGTAAGGCCATGAAGAAAGACTTTTGGACTGCCTTGAAGTGGTTCTGGCAAACTGTCATGTGAGTCAGGAGGGGTAAAACAGTGCTCTACCGACACGGTGAATAATGGGGTGGTGTGCTGACTTCAACCGAGGATATTGTTAGGCAGTGGAAGGTATACTTTGAGGACCTGCTTAATCACACTGGAAGGTCTTCCATAGAGGAAGCAGATGAGGGGCATGACTCAATCATCACTGGGGGTGAGGCTACTGAGCTCCTTGGTGGTAGAGCCCCTGGGACGAATGAGGTTCACCCTGAGTTCCTGAAGGCTCTGGATGTTGTAAGGCTGTCTTGGTTGACACGCCTCTACAATGTCATGTGGCGATCTCAAGTGGTACCATTGTATTGGCAGACCAGAGTGGTGCTCCAACTATAGGGGGGGTGCTGGAAAGTAGGGTCCGTCCATTAGTCAAAGTTCGGATACAAGAGAGTTTTCGTCCTGTTCACGTAACACTGGACTAGCTCCCTATCCTTTTGAGGATATTTGAGGTTGCATGGGAGTTTGACTACCAGTATACATGTGAAGTACATGTGAAGAAGGCATTCAACTGCGTCCCCCGCGACCTGGCCCTGGATAAGCAGAAGAAAATGGATGAATGGCTGGATGGACTAAAAAAAACAGGAAGAGAGCAAATACTTTTTTCACAGCCCTGTACCTGTCTCTCACGTCCTCAGCCTCCAGCAGTGGGACACGTCTCCATCGAGGGTACGTGGAAGAGGCTGCACCTGAAGACACCCCACCTGAAACCACACACATTGTATTTGTGGTGCATGGCATTGGCCAGAAGATGGACCAGGGTCGCATTATCAGGAACACCAGCATGTGAGAAATTATGGTGTTTCCATTGCAAGAACAGATAACAAATTAAAATTAGAGTAATTTTGGAAGTAACAGTTTATTTATTTTTAATTGCTGGATAGGATGAGAGATGCTGCCAGAAAGATGGAGGAGAAACACTTCTCAGATCGCACCACAGAGCATGTAGAGTTCCTTCCTGTGGAGTGGAGGTCCAAACTATGTCTCGATGGAGGTATGTTTTACAACACTTTTGTTTTGGATTGCTCGCAAGCTTATTATGCAGTTTTTTTTCTGCTACAGCACGTGTGAAAAGCCTGCTTACAACACTTTACATTAAACTGACTCAGAGTTTCATCTTCTAAAACAGGATCAAAATTTACATAAATACTTAGTGAATCTTATTTTTGTTCAGCACATTTTTTTTTCTATGTCAAATGTTGAACATATATAGTGGGTAAATAAGCATTGAACACATCACAGTTTTTCTATGTAAAATATATTTATATTTCTAGAGGCGCTAATGACATAAAATTCTCACTAGATGTTGGTAACAACCCATCTAATCCACACATGCAAAGAAATCAAACCATAGATGTCTAAGTATTTAAAAGTGCTAACATTAATGACTGTACCAAACAGGTGACTGATTATATACATTTCTCTGTGAATTTAGTAGTCCCATCCAAAACTTGTAAAGGTTATGCAAATGAAGAAAAAGACTTTTAAAGACTATGATGACATAGCCAGAAGTGACCTCCAGAGACAAATTAAAAGTACAATCAAAGGTTAGAGGGTGCTGTGACACATCTAGTAATTCCAGAGAAGCGTGGCAGAGTATCAAACCCATGATAAATGTCCCACATCAAGGTAGGGGGAAGGCTTCCCTCAGCCTGCAGGTTAGTGAGGGTCTGGAGATGGCCAATCAGCTAAACACCCTTTTCTGCTGCTTTGATAGTGGCAGCAGAAATGACTGTCCTGTTGAGTTGCCCTCCTCACCAACTCCTCCCTTGGACTTTATTACAGAATCAAAAGTATTGCAAGTTTTCAGAGGCTGTAAACCCCCAAAAAGTTCAGATCCTGACAATGTCTGTGGGAGTATTTGAAAAATATTTTTCAGTTTTTTTTGTTTGATTTTCTTTTAACAGTCATACGATACCAAATATCTGGAAAGTGTCAGTAACTGTTCCTGTTCCAAAGTTCCCTAGACCTTTGGGTCCAAAAGACTTCAGATCAGTTGCACCCACATCTCTGGCCATAAAATGTTTTGAACATGTGGTGAAAAGGTACATGGTATCGAAAACTCAAAGTCTTATAGACCTCATGCTATTTTCTTATCAACCCTAGAGAGGGGTGGAAGATGCTGTATTAATTTTGCTGCTTACTACATGCTCATCTGGAAAAAGCAAAGACTCATGCCAAGATTTTATTTGTGGACTTTTCCTCTGCTTTTAACACAATCTTACTGATTATTTTAGAAGATAAATTGGAAAAAGAATTATTTTTGCTTATTGATTTTCTTTGGAGTAGAACACAGCTGGTCAGAATGGTAACTCAACTTTCTGACAAACTGACCATTTCAACAGGCTCCCCTCAGGGCTTTGTTTTATCTCCATTGTTGTTTATTCTGTATACCAAGTCTTGTAATAGCACCTTTCAAAACAGACTTTTTATTAATTATGCAGATGATACAGCTTTAGAGAGCCTCGGGTATGATGGGGAGGATGGGCCAGTTCTTGAATATTTTATTAAATGGTGTGAGAGGGCAAATCTTGTCCTCAACACCACAAAGACCAAATGCCAGTAGATTTTAGGAGGAATCCAGTATCCCAGCCTAAATTAAATGGAGAGCTGATCCAGTGTGTGACTGAATACAAATGTCTGGGTGTTATGCTTGACCATAAAACATAACTAAAATGCTTCATATGTTTTGTTGGGCTTTTATTAAAAGTGTGTTTAGTTCTTGTATTATTTGTTGGTTTGGAAAATGTCTCTGAGGCACAGAAAAAGATGACTAGAAAGGCAGTGATACTAGCTAGTAAGTTGTCTGGAACTGCATTGCTATTACATTTCTAAACTGCAAGTTTAGAAAACATTTTTAGGGACTGGGCATGGAGTAAAGCAAATAATATTGTGAGTGATGTAAGGCATCCACTTACCTTTTGGGCAGGGATAGCTCAGTAGGTAGAGTGGTGGCCCCATGATCGGAAGGTCGGGGGTTCGATTCCCCTGAACAGCTACCCTGAGGTACCCCTGAGCAAGGTACTGTCCCTACACACTGCTCCCCGGGTGCTCAGTGGCTGCCCACTGCTTCACTGAGTGAATGGGTTAAATGCAGATAGGGATTTTCCCCACGGGGACCAATAAAGTGCACTTTCTTCTTCTTCTTCTTCTTCTTTTCTATTATTGGACTATTATCATCTGCACAGCGCTATTGTCCCACTTTGTTCACAGAAAATACGTCCAAATGATCTTTTTTTCCTCAAGCCATCAAAATTCTGAACATAAGCAACACATAGGCTTCCAAGTTGGTGTGGTATAAAATCATCCCTAAGATATAAGGAAAGCCAAAGTGTCTATGTATTGTGTGCTTATGTTTTTTAAGGTGATGTGCTTGTTTTTTATGTGGTGTTTTTGAATGTCAGGTGTCTTCTGCTGTAAGTCAATTTCCCCATGGGCATCAATAAAAATATCTTATCTATCTATAAATTAAGTAGTTAATGTGTAATAATGAGAAATGACACCAAAAAAAGGTATTGAACATGCTTACCGAAATGCAATTACCACTTTGTACAAAAGTTTTTGTTGGTGATGACGGCTTCAAGATGCCTCCTGTATGGAGAAACTAGTCGAGTGCAGTGTGATGCTTGATAATTCTTCCACACAAATAGTCTTCAGGTTCTGAGGCTCTATGGGCCCCTTTTATGGACTCAGAGCATTAGTACTCTCCATAGATTCTAAATGCGATTGAGGTCAACAGATTGGCTGAGCCATTATTTTCTTTCTCTGAAAACAGTTGAGAGTTTCCTGTTTTCAGTATCACACATCCACCGGCGTTTTATCTTCATCATCCTAGTAGATGCATGCATACAGTCCATGGCGGTTGAGTGCATTACTTACTGTTTTCTTCAAAACAATTGTACCTGCTGATTCCAGGTCTTTCTGTAGCTCTCCACAAGTGGTCTTTGGCTCTTGAACAACTATCCACATTAGGTAATGCAGTGAAAGACTTTCAAAATTTCTCAATACCACACCAGAGGCAGACTAAATTACAACAATGTTTTTCTGAGGAATGGAAATATGGACTTTACTTTGATTTTAATTGCACAAAAAGGCAAAAGTACGCTGGTAGAGTGCAAACTGCATCTGGGACAAAACCAATACAACTCTTGCTCTTTGCATACGTCTACACAAACAGCATGCTGACATAAAGCTACAGAAGAATCCAGAGTGATGTTAAAGCTGAGCATATGCTGAACCAGGATGTAGCCAGAGCCTGAACCTTAACAGTCAACAAAAGTGGTGATGAGCAGTCAGGCCTGCAGCATTGCAGACTTCATTTCTGTACGTATATATTCTAAAGTAAAATCACTGAGGGAATTCGTTTGAGCTGGTTTTCAGCTGCTTTGTGATGCTGTTTTTGTGGTTTTATGTAAAGACTAAGAAAAAGAGCACATGTATGTCCTGATTAGGATAGTGATTTGTGTCAGCATGGGAGACTATAGCTCAGGTTTATATTGTTATCTGGTCATTGTGTCAGAGTGCACTTCAGGGCATATTACTGAGTAATCCAAAAGTAATATAACAAGAAATGTGACAAATTCTTTTTTACAGGGAGTGATTTAGTGCCATGCTGGATTACTTTTAAGAAAAGAAATCTACCATCATCTTCGTGTTTTGTTCTGTATTCTGATCTTTAACTGAATTTCTATTAAGATTTTTAAATACTAGTGCAAAAACTAAATAAAGAATTACAATATTGTAATATATATTTAGCTTTTTCCTTTTTTTATTTTGATGATTAGCTTACAGCCCATGATGACCTTATAGCTCATGAAATATCCTTTATGGCGTCGATGCAGCGTGGCATAGAGGTGATCAGCTCTGTTAAGCCCAGATTGCTTTGATAGCTCATCTGTGTTTTTGATTCTTTCTGGGGTTCAGGTCGGACAAGTTGCCTTGCCCATCAACCTCAGTAAGAACTTATTCAGCAAACCATTTAGTCCTGCTAGAAAAGGAAATCAGCATCACCATGAAGCTAGTCAGCAGATCTATCTATCTATCTATCTATCTATCTATCTATCTATCTATCTATCTATCTATCTATCTATCTATCTATCTATCTATCTATCTATCTATCTATCTATCTATCTATCTATCTATAATTTACCAAAAGAACAGACGCAGCTTGTTGACCTAATCAAAAAAGCATATAACTATAGGTCATACAAGTGTATGTTAAGTGTAGGCCTATGGTTGGAGTCTGACAGACAGAGTCATTATAATGGATACAGGCTTCGGGCTCCAGCAGAGGACTGTAAGCTATATGACAATATTTTTACATGGCGTTCTGTAATGTTCTTGCATGAAGACAACTTACATTACTGTAAGGGATCAAATGAACTAGAAAAAGTGCATTTAGCTGAATTTGTATAGGTCCTTCACTAAAAAGTTTTAGAGCACAGCTCATGAGTTTGTGGTGAAAATTGTGTGAGCTGTCTATGGTCAAATATGGAGTTCCAGAGGGTTCAATGCTAGGACCAATTTCTGTTTACATGATACATGCCTTCCTTAGGCAATATCATCAGAAGGCATAGCGTACATTTTCACTGCTATACAGATGGCACCCAACTCTGTCTAGCCAGATAACACACACCAATTAGTTAAACTGCAGGAATGTCTTAAAGACATAAATACCTCTAATTCTCTAATTCAGTGGTTCCCAAACTTTTTTTGCTGCCCCCCCCAAATACCGCTTCATCCACACCTCCATGGGTATTTTTGAAAACGCAGTCTGTTTCGTCACACGTAAACGGCGTTTAAATCACCGAAAACAGATTTTAAAAACTCCTTTTTTGCATTTATGTGTGGACGAGGAGTACAGAGTTTGTCACACAATGTCAAAGGTATGTGCCTTTTTTCACGTCACGCTGTGCGCCACGTTATTGTCTACATGAGTGTGGGCAACCGTGGCTCAGGGGGTTGGGAATCGCATCTGTAACCGGAAGGTCGCCGGTTCAATCCCTGGGCTCTCTGTCCTGGTTGTTGTGTCCCTGGGCAAGACACTTTACCCTACTTGCCTACTGGTGTTGGCCAGAGGGGCCGATGGCGCGATATGGCAGCCTCGCTTCTGTCAGTCTGCCCCAGGGCAGCTGTGGCTACAACTGTAGCTGCCTCCACCAGTGTGTGAATGTGAGAGTGAATGAATAGTGGCATTGTAAAGCGCTTTGGGTGCCTTGAAAAGCGCTATATAAATCCAATCCATTATTATTACATGAGATGAATTCACTTGGCCTTAAACAGCTTACAAATATGGATATGAAACCAGATTCTTACTCTGGATGGCATTACCTTGGCCTCCAGTAACACTGTGAGGAACCTTTTTTGACCAGGATACGTCCTTCAGGGTACATACGTATTAAACAACAACTGTTTTCTTCCATTTGCACAACATCTTTGAAACTAGAAACGTTCTTTCTCAGAGTGACACTGAAAAACTATCCATCTATCATCCTTATACTTCCTCCTCATACTTACTTTTCCCCCAAAAGCAACTTTTAACTACAGAAATGAATGCAGCAAACGAAAGGGACCAAAAGAGGAGAAGTTTTGTAGCATACTGTTGAATGCTACAAAACAAGGAGGAAAAAGTCAGTAGCACTGGTGAGAAAAATGTTCCTGACACTTGCTGATGATGGTACTATCCTCTTCACCTGTCAGTGGTTTCATGTTGTGGTTTACTCGCTAATATTCATGTTGGACAGAAGGACAATACTACTGAGTTTTGCCATATCTATACATTGCAAGCCAGAATCATAATGTCTACTCAAGTATATGCAGAAGCATTAAAAAGTAATTCATTTTGCTCTGGGAACTTCTGACAACTATGTCTTATGTATTTGGATGTTCTTCCTACAGACACAGTGGACTCCATCACTCCAGACAAGGTTAGAGGTCTAAGAGACATGTTGAACAGCAGTGCCATGGACATCATGTACTACACAAGTCCTCTGTACAGAGATGAGGTGAGTGAAAAAGCCCCACCATTTCAACATTCAGGGTAGCTGTAGCTCAGGTGGTAGAGCAGCCTACTAATCAGAAAGTTGGTTGTTCAATTCTCGTCTTCTCCAATATCCTTGGGCAAGACACTAACCCCAAGGAGTTCTCTAAATGTTAGATAGAAAGAACTTACAGAGAAAGAGCATCTGGGTAAGCACTTTTGGAGGTCGGTGGATCCTGGGAGTCTGGCAGTCATCTCTGCACCTGAATGTGATCACTGATCCTAATGCACATTCAGGTATCAATAAATCAAGTACACATTAGAAAGTCTCTGGCAGCGAATTCACTTCTGAGATTTTTACTTCATCCATGTAAAAATGAAGGTCTTTCTCTTCCCAGCCTGCCTAGTAGGCTAAGATTCAGAAGTCTACATAATAATCAGCAACAGTCTGTTTACCTTGGCGAAGGTACTTTTGCCAGTCAGAAATCTCTGACTTATCAAATGTCTTTGAACTTTTACAATAT